TTAATGCAGGTGCAGGTTGGGACACTCTGGGACGTTCTTGGGCAAAAGCAAGTGGTATTCTAAAGGTATTTATTTTGTTCACTTACTCAGTTACCAAATGTTGTTTTGTAAAACCAGTTGTCGCCTGAAGGTCACTCTGTGTCCCCACGTGGCAAGAATAGAGCGATGTTCCCCAGGGTCTTCAATGGCGGAGTTCTCGTTCTTATTTTAAACTTTTTAGTTGACTGCCCCGCCCACCACTCAAGGCACTTTGAAGAGTACAGACTGTTTTCAAGTCCCAGAGACGCCCACCAATTGTTTACACGGAATAAACAATCATCAAAATAAACAATAAATAATTGGTGCTCTGCCTTGGTGGCACTTTTGAGTAAGCCATAGAGTTCTAATCACATGGTCGACAGTTCAAACCCACTAGCGGCTCTAAAGGAGAAAGATGATTGTCAAGGTTTAATGTGGGGGAGGAGGGAAGGGGGAACTGATCCCAAAGATCAATGCATAACCCACCCACCCACCCCACAGCCCAAGGGGGACAAACAACAGAAACGTGGGGGAAGGGAGACAATGGTCGGTGTAAGATATGAAAATAATTTATAATTTATCAAGGGTGGGAATGATGAGGCAATGAATGTACAAATGTGCTTTACACAGTTGATGAATGGATTGTGATAAGAGTTCTATCACCCCCTAATAAAGTGATTAAAAATTTTTTTTAAAGTTATCAAGGGGTCACAAAGAGGGGGAATAGGGAGGGGGGAAAAGAGGAGCTGATACCAAGGGCTCAAATAGAAAATGTTTAGAAAATAATGATGGCAATATGTGTACAATTGTGCTTGATACAACTGATATGTGGGTTGTTATAAAAACTAAGAGCCCCCAATAAAATGATCTTAAAAATTTATTTTGGAAATTCTATATATGCTTGTTATATGAGTTTAAACCTGGGCACTGAGGAGTCCCTCAAGGGTCTCGGCTCTACAGGAAGCTGGGGGCCAGGCTGGCTTGGGTTAAAGGAATGATCTACTCAACTTTGTCTCTCTCCCGATCCCCCCAGGTGCTGGGTGACCTGCTGCAGCAGTGACCATTATTAGGGTTTCTTAAAAGCAAAGCCGCCCGGTCAGCATGTCCCTAATAATGAGAGCCCCACCTCTGAGGTCTGCAAGCGGTAGGCCCGGAGTACCTGCTTTTTACTTCAAAAGTGGCTACTGAGAAAGTGAGCTGTTTCCCAAAGTGGGCAACACCACCCCCTGGGGCACAGGAACCACCAAGGGGGCTGCAGAAGCACACACCCACATTTTATCTTGGAAGCATTTAGCCAGATGTTCCTTGGAGACAGCTATGATGAGGCTTTGGACATGTTATCAGGAGAGGCCAGGCCCTGGAAGAGGGCAGCGTGCTTGGTAAAGCGGAGCAGGGAAGAGAGGAAGACCCTTGACCAGGTGGCCGCCGCCACCTGCACAGGGTGTGCGTCACAGCAGCCCCAGGTCACTCAGCTATACCATCACTCTGGCTGGGTGGCCCGATGGCAGACTGGAGGCAGGAAAGCCCCCACCCGGGGCTGCCAACAGCCAGACCCTGGTTTGTCTGTTTTTTTTCTGAAACAGGGTTGGTATGCCAAATGAGTTTTGGAACCTATAAATGCTACCTGTAATTCATTGGAATAGCAACAGGGGCTCATGCAGGGCGGAGTGGGTTGTGGTGGTCTAGAAGGTGGGGGTTCAGGTGAGGCGGACACCGAAGAGAACGAGCGGTGGGCAGGCCAGAGTGGAGAGGACACGTGCTCAGAATGGCCCCAGTGAATGCAAGCAAAGCTCAGGTTAGAAGTCCACCCACGAATCCAGACGTTCTGGCCTGGTTGAGAGGGGGCTCCGTGACATCATCACCACAGGAGACTCTTCAAACCCTGAATGAAACCATCCTGATGTTACCTTTCAGCCAAGTAACAGCATGGCAGACCAAAAAAAAAAAAAAAAAGTGTATTACCCATGAGCACCCTGGTCTCCTGCCATCCCATCAATAGGGTTTCTGAAGCTGTACATACTTGCAAGAGCAGATAGCCTCAGCTTTCTCTAGAGGAGCAGCTGGTGGGCTCAAACCACCAACCTGTCATTAGCAGAACGTTTACTTGACGTTGCCACTCGAGCCGCCCACCCAAGAGGCAGTGCTTCATAAAAACCCAGCCCCGGGGGTTGGAAAGGCCAATGTGGAAGCAAAGATGAGACAAGGTGGCAAGGAAATGAGAGCCCCGGGAACACGCACATTAATGAAATATGGACATATCTGTATAGAAACCGTGAAGTGGGAAGCCAACAATTTTCAGTAAATTGTTCACTGAAAAAGTCTTGGAGCTTGGTGGATGAAAGAAGACACACGTCGCATCACATGACCTTGTCTGGGGCAGGCAAACCTAGAGATTGTAGGCTAGTGGCCGGGGAGGGGCTGGCTTGGGGGGCTGAGAATGCTCTATAAGTAGGTCCATGGGACAGCTACACCGAAACAAGTTATCTCACACGTTAAAAGGATGAACTGTGAGGTGCCGAGCCTCCAGAGGGCTCTCTTGGGCTGCCATAATTCCGCAGCACCTCGCCAGGCTTTTCTTATGCAGTGTCCCTGGCTAGCGCAGTCCACCTTGCTTAGTTAGTAATTGAGCACAAACTGCCGCTCAAAGGGACCCTCTCTCTCAGTCCAGCTGTTTAAACAAAACCCACGAAGCTCCAGGAGCCCCACCCGTGCTACCCTCTCCCCAGAGGGGGATGGTGGGCAAGGTCAGACCTTTTGCCGGGTGTAGCGGTAGCATGGTTAATGCGCTCCATTTTCCCATCCTGAAACTGACTTCCCTAGGGCTGGCGCTCACCGGGAAAAGAAACTCCATGTAACAAAGAAATTATTGGTAGCTGGTATGGGGCTAGAGAGGAGTGCCGAGGGGGAAGGAAAATGCTAGAAAAAAGGCAGAAGGTGCCAGAGAAGAAGTCATTTATGCTGCCCCCTGGAGGGCAAACCCTCAGGCATGAGCTTGACATTCCCAGAGGTGGTCTCTCATCACCTTCCCTGTGGTGTGTCTTCATCAGGGGCTGAGCTGCTCAGGTGAGCACACAGCAGGTGAGGAACGAGGCGGGACCCCCCAGTGTGGCTGCAAACCCTGGAGCTGGCAGGGGCAGCTGCCAGAGGGGTCTTTCAAAGGAACCCAAGACCACTGGATGAGGTATTGCCTCACTCTCACAAAGTGTGCACCCTTGGCATCCTTTTCGTTTTAAAGTAACAGCAACGAGACGCTCTAGGTGTACTTAGTACTCTCGGAATGAAGGCAAAAGCCTGTGATGGACGAGAGCCACCACCTTGACCCACTGCAAGGAGACACTAGACAGAACTTCAGGACTGGTGGCCCTCTCATCTCATGGGACAGCGCGCCCCGGCCCGTCCATTACACTGATCTCCCGGTGTCAAATACGGCTCTTTGAGATGGGCATTTTACACCTGAATGGTGAGGCCAGGGAAGAACGCACGTTTTTTTAAACATACAATTGGAATATCCCACTGAGGACGCCACACTTCTTACTGGTTAGAGTGAGGTAAAGCTCAAAATGGTGCCAGCTTAGGTGGTCCCTGCAACCGGAAAGGGTTTCAGGTGAGGAAAGATGAGTTTATTTAGAAGCCGAGTTCAAATTAACCTTGTGGATCGAAGGGGCAAAAGCAGCCAGAGGGAGTGAGATCTCCCAGGGTCCCTCTGGCTCTGTCCTGGTGAGAAGAGGTTCAGGGCTCATGATGACCTGGTTGGATTCTCAGCACGCACCACTATCTAGTTGTGACCTTACGTAGTAGGCAACCTCATTCTTTCAGCCTCAGCTTGTCATAAGGGGGGTGGGTCCCAGGTGCTGCCCCCCGGGGTGGCTAGCTAGCCTAGAACCCATGTTGTGCACCCAGCCTTTCCCCAGCACCGAGACGGTCAATGCGCAGAGCTGGGATAAACCTGGCCTTGTTAATTAATTAAAAGCTCCCACCTCCAAAATGTTTAGTGAGTAAAGTAGCACTTCCATGTAAGATTTGGTGGACAGATTCTTTGACGTCCCACAACTGTCACCACTTTATTCAGGTGGGGGGGGGGGCGCGATTCAGTGGAGGATAGTCAACAAGGCTCCACAGCCTGGGAGGATGCTAAGCTGAGTCGGTTCTAGAAGCTTCTTCAACTGTTGACGTCTCAGAGAAGATGGAGGTGTGGACATGAGTGAGGAGCAGGAAAGGGTGTTCCCCAATGCTCGCCCTTCAGGATCCTGGCTTTGTGGACCTTAGTGGGCACATTCACTGGGAAATGCCACCCTAGATATTAGAACCAAGGAGGTAAGGGGGAATTTGAGGTCTGGTCCACCCCCGCCCAACAGGTTCCAGGGCAGTTGCCTACCTCTGTCCTGGAGGGACTGGGGAGGAGTCTATGAGAGGAGGGGGATAGCAGGAAATGTGTGTGTGCCCTTTTGTTAGCCAGTGCCTGAGATTCCTGGCTAGCTGAACCTGAAGTTCTCAGAGACCTGAGGCGGCCCTGGGTGCAGAGCCTCTAAGTTAGACAGGCTCTCCTTGGAGCGTGATCTGGGCAGAGCCCTCGTCGTGAGGCCAGAGGGAAGGAAATGGGGGCTTGCCCTCCTTCAGCAGGAACTTTAGGACCAAAATGGCTGCTGTGGTCTGGGGCTGCGCACGGTCTCAGGACTTGAAGGTGCTGGCTGCCAGGTGTGAAGGTGGGTAGCCAGACATGCAAGGCACAGGGACAGAGGTTCCTGAGGAAGCCCAGGCACTCACACAGGCAGGACTTCTCGGGGGACAATGGAGGTAGGCAGGTACACAGCTTTCCAGGGGGCACATCATCTTACAAGAGCGTTCGGTGGATCGCGAGCACACCACTGGGCACCTCACGGAGAAGCCTCACCCTGGGGTGGTCCACCCCCTCTCCCTGTCTTCAGCCCCACCCTCCCCAAGGACCCATCCACTCCCCGCAAATGACAACTCCGCAGGCATTGTCGGTTCTTCTCAAACAGTTTAATAGCAAATAAACAAAGAAAGGTCCACACTTGGCAGATACAAAATGACTTTTTGTCCGTGTGTCTGTGCAATTAAAACAGATTTAGGTTCCCCATTGGGACAGAAGGAAAAACACACAAAAAGGAAGGCGATTCCTTGGAAACACATACCCCCTTGCTCCAAACGCGTAACATTTTTTAATCCACTACACACACTCTGTGATCAAGTCAGAAGAGCAACAAGCGCTCTTCTTTTTTTTTTTCTTTTTTAAACCATTAAAAGTAAAATCCATAATTTTCTACAGAGTACAACACAAGTTCACACAAAAAAGACATTTTCTTTTGCAAATCAAAACAGGGGAGGAAGGGAAAGCTCAAAGGAGGGAAAGCATCTGTACGGCTGCATCACGACTCTGAGTGGATGGACTCCCGTTGCTGCTGCTGCAGAACAGACTGCGTTTGGTCATAGTGGCAATTTATTTTTCTCTTCACATTGTGAAATCACTTTACATTGTTTTCTAGTAGAAAAGGCAAAAAACTGTACAAAACCCCTAGTGTTAAATACAACGTTTGTACCAATAAAAAACTCACACAGGTTTGTCTTCAAAATGTAAAGTTTTTTTTTCTTTTTAAATTATTCACAAAAAGCAGCTGGAAATCAGAAAGGCAGCTGCCGCTCCAGGGTCTCAAATCCATTAAAACCACCACAGAACAGTTAAAACAATCAGAGTGAAAAGGAAAAGGAACAGTGTCCAACGTTTGGCATTTGGTTTTATCCACAGGTTTTCCCAGAGCTCCTCTTGGAATTGAAAGCAAAAGATATTGGCAAACACGGATTCTTCCAATACACACGCAGGGGCCTCGGGGCCTTCTGCCAACAGAGGCGGCTCTGTGCAATCAGACTGTGGGTGCGCAGCAGTCTTGCTCGGGCTGGGCTGCTGGCCTCTTTCTCTCCATCCCACCCCCATCTCCAGACACTGAGCAGCCTACCATACCCAGGACCCCCAGGGATGTCCCTTGCTCCTAAGTAAGAGGGGGCTCCGGCATCAGCCTAGAACCCTGCTGGGTGCCAGGGCAGAAGTTCTGCTGGGCCCCTGCCCTCGCCAACCCTAGCACAGAGGGTGCTCAACAGTGTTCTGCCTTCTCCCACCTCCTTGTCCTCCCTGGACAATCAGGGCATCCGACTAACAACTCTCCCAGCCGGAGCCGCGGTCTGGGTGGGACCTACCATGAACCCTATCTTCCCTCTCAACCGCTCACCTCCACAGGCCCGCCGGGGCCTCGCCTGCCTGCCCTTCACATTCTTACTCACGTTCCTCAGCCCTTGAGGCCAGATGGTGCCACGAGACAGGAGGGCAAGCCCCCGCAGGGAACCAAGAGACCGGCTTGCCTGGCACCCAGGGACAGCAGCTATTTGGTCTTCACTCAATTTAGAGACCAAATCCCTGCCCTCGGCCCCCCGCCCCCAGCAGAGCTGTGGTGAAGAGCCAATGTGGGGCGGTTGGTGCCCAGGGCTGTAAACAGTGTGAAGACTGTAGTATTGTGCTTGTCACTGAGGAAACAGCGCCAGCAGGTATATCGCCACTCGGTGCTCAGATGGCCTCCTACGAGTGGTCAGGAGCATCCTCCTTCCTCCAGGCCAAGAGGCGCTCAGACCCCTAATGTGCTAAGCCTCTTGCCCACCCGTAGCCACCTTCGGGGCTCCTCTCTGTGCCCCTCGCAGCCCTCTCTAAGCGGAGCAGCCAGCCTCCTGGAGGCCCACCGAGGTCACACGGGGTGACAGTCTAAGTGCACAGGCAAACGCTCTATGGGCAACGGAGGAGAAAGTTGCCACTTCAAAATAAAATAATACAATCTTGGAAAGAAAAAAAAAAAATCAACCCTACAATTTAAAACAGCTTCTTTGAAACCCTTTAAATGGGCCAGTTTTTGCACAAACTATAGAAAACAGAGAGGTGCCGGTGATAGATAGGAAGGTGTGAAGGAACAGCAGGACACATGCAGAACTTGGGATTTTCTGGGCATAATCTTAGTAGGCAAGGAGGGGGAACAAAAAACTCAACACAAAAACAAAACAAAACGAACCAATAGTTAAAAAAAAAGGAAGCAGCATCACATTTTGCTGTGGAGACTGTGGGGACAAGCATGGAAGTGCAGGCAAGGCCGGGGGGAGGGGCCAAGTGGGGCCCGAAGGCGCCCCACAGGGAAGAGCCACAAAACAAACTGGGCCCCAAACTGCAGCCTGCAGTCGCAAGGGCCAGGAGCTCAGCTGTTTTCTGTAGCCCCAAACTCGAAGTGACAAAATAAGACCAACACACGCGGTCTCCTCCAGCCCCACAAACTGGATCTCAGCGAAATGTGCTCGGAGCCTCAGGTTTCATTCAGTGACATCTTTTATTTCATCGCTCACTTCAAAGCTGTCGTAAAACTAAGCCCACGGAGAAAGGACGCCTAGAAGCGACTGGCCGCGTGCTCACCGAGAACAGACACCACGCGCTGCGTGCTAGCAGGGCCACTCTGAAGACAGTTACAAAGAATTGGAATCACAAAATCAAGTGGTTATCTTATGAAGTTCTAGAAAAATAGATTTTTTTATATTCAAATGCAAGTTTAAATATTTCCCCTTCAGCAGTCGTTCTAGCAAAACCAATTTGGCAGCACAAAAGGAACAACAACAACAAAAAAAAAACAAGGAAAGAAAAAACAAAGAAAGAAACAAACATAATAAAAAAAATACACGTCAGCATCAAAGGTCAACACAAGGTCAAAGGTGAGAGTTCAAGCATCAGAGAAGCTGAAGAGACAGGGATTTGGACGATGTACTTGACGCCACATCGACATGCTTTAGGCACAACGATGAACAAACGGCAGGAATCTAGAAAAAAAAACAAACCAGAAAGAGGGAGACCCACTGAGTTACACAGA